CTAACCCGCTCAGATTAATCCTCTCAGTGTGTGTAGTTCGGTGTGGGTCAAAGGTCACGGTTTGTCTGACGCTGTCCTCCGTCTTCAGACAGTGGAAGCAGCTCTCCGCTCCCAAAGTTCGCCTCGTCCCCCAAACCCAACAACAGCTACATGTTCAAGCGGGAGCCTCCGGAAGGCTGTGAGAAGATCAAAGCTTTCGAGGAGATGAGGTCAGAGGCGTCGCTGACGGCTCGGTACACCGCCTCGCCGCCGCTCCCCGTCTCACCTGTCCTTTCTTTCTCCCGCAGCTCCAGGCAGTCGGCGTCGGCGCCTCTCTTCTCCTGCCCCGACAAGAACAAGGTCAACTTCATCCCCACAGGCTCCGCCTTCTGCCCGGTCAAACTCCCCGCCTCGCTGCACCTCAGCCCCGCCTCCGAGCCCGAGGAAGACGAGGGCCAGGGGGAGCCCCGGGGGGCTTCCTCGCACTATGGCGCCCCCCCCGCTCAGGTTTCCACCAGCACCAGCACAGACGACCCCCCCGAGGAGCCCAGCTCTCCTTCAGAGACTGCAGAACCCCAGACGGACAGCTAGACCCCCCCACCCCCCACTGACTGTCCCACCAACACCTCCTGCTTTACCAGGGGAGCCTCTATCTCTCTGTGCTCCCCCCCACCCTCATTCTATCACTGCATGACGTAGCAACAGTGTCCCTTCATGTCCAGCATCAGTCGGCCACCTGAGCGCCGGGGGGGGGCAGTTTGAGTCAGAAACACCCAGAAGGCCAATCGGCTGCCCCCATCCGCCATGACGACCATGTTTACGCTATCGGCTCAGAGATCCAACTACGATCGCTCAGAGTCCGCTTGTGGGCGGGGCTTCAGGCGTTTCTCCATTACGGTTCTAAACTCAGGTAATCTGGAAATGTGTGTCCATCAAAGAACCTGCAGCTCAAAGCAGGAGGGATCCGCCGTCATGTGTTCCTCTTCATTCCCGGACATTTGGTTCGACCAATAAGGAGCATCCCCTCCAAACGGGCGCTATCTGGTACCGCTGCCAGCGGGTCGGATTACGACAAAAATACTGTTTTTAATCTGCAGTTCCAGCCCAGACCTTTGGTAGAAGTGGAAATTATCGGTCCAATAGTAGTTACTGTGCCTCTCGTGCACAGAGCAGGTTCGGATTAAAGCAACA